GTCTTTGCAGCACTCTGGAGAAAATCCAAAATGATTGTAAAAATAGTTAGACTGAGACATTATCCTCATCTGTACATGGTACATTCAGATTGCTTGTACTAAAACTCAAAAAACTGTTGCTTGCACTTTACTGTGTGATATTGTGTGAGTTATTTGCACACACTTGGCACCTAGTAATATTAAAGTCCTCACTAGATATGGGCCATAATGTGTGGATGTGGAACCAATCCTCTGCATCATAAAGCAGCCAGCTGGTGATCACAGAACATCAGCTCCTCTATCATCTTCCACTCTCTTTCCCACTGCCCCCTCCTCTGTCCTCCCTGGGTGAACTTGAATCCACTCTTTGTGTGCATGCTCTTTTTGCCAGGCACTGAGATGAGCTGATAGTGAATGGTGTCTGTCAAGCCACTTCAGTGACACCGGTGGCCATTTTGAACAAACATTTTCCTTCTATCCTTTGCCCTGTGTGGCTGCTGTGGGTTGGCACCAGAGATAACACCCAAAGCCCAACATGACAGACCTTGTCGCTGTGTTTTCATGCTTGTGTGTGTTAGTTGCGGAATATGAGTACTAAAGGAAGACTTTAAATATGTTTATGATCATATGTGAATGAAACAGTGGTTGTGGCATAATTTGGTTAAAGTAACCAGACTGGGAGCCAATCCAGTGCGTTGACAGATGGGTTAATTCGTGACTGCGACCACCATGACCCAAAGATTACTGGCAGGACCACAAACCTGTGTGTGTGTGTTTGTGCACTCGGTTTGATAACTAAAGTCCGATCTGGTTATCGGATTTTTATGCACTTAAATGTGTGTGTGAGCGTGTGTATGAAAGAGACAGAAAAGATGAAGGTGTGTCTGAACTTCAGCAGTTCACTGTGAACTATAGTTTGTTTTGTATTGTATTTGCACAGCTGACATGCTTCCAGATTAAACTCACTCATTTGTTATGTGTGTGTGTGTGTGTGGGTGTGGGTGTGTCCTCCTTTCAGAGTGCTTCCAGGAGAGTGAGCACCTGAAGGAGAGTCTGAAGTGCTGCCTGCTGCACCTGTTTGGAGCTATAGTAGCTGGTGATCAGGTAAGCCTCTGGACGGGTCAGAGGTCAGAGTCCTTTCGCTGCCAGGTCACAGGCTCAGTTGGATTGATGTCTACTCTGACCTTATCTCTTCATGCTGGCACTGGGTGGGATTTGTTCACAAATGCCACCACATTCATTCAGACTAGAAAAGATTCTGACCTGTTGGTGGCCATTTGCTTTCTGTTGTGTCATTTATAGTAATGTGATTTGCTGTATCTGATCCCTATACCTTGACTAATTAGCCTGTCTTAGTGAGGGACTGAAAGAGCCGTAACCTGCCTTCACTAACCTCTATATACTCCTTTGCCCTGGCAGAGGAACGCTCTGTTTGCCATCTCTCCAGCCACCATGGAGGTGTTGATGCAGGTGCTGGCTGATTGTTCCATGGGGAGCTGCCCTTCAGATGAGGGTGAGGACTGGGACAGTGAGGCCCCTGACCGTAAGGCGCTGCTCACTCTGGGCTGCCTCCGAGAGGTGGTGCAGCGCCTCCTGGCCTCCAGCTCTGACCAGCGACAAGTGGAAATCACCTCGGTGCTGGAAAACTACTTTAAGCTGCTCAACTCAGACCCAGCGGCTATGGTTGCTACCCAGCAGCAGCAGCACAAGCAACAACAAGCCAAGGGCAGAGTACTGACACTGGGCCGACACTGGGAAAGCCGATTTTTGGCACTGCAAGTGCACATGCTAGGTAGGGTCTTAATAAATAATGAATTATGATTTCCATATAGTGAAGTCAAGCTTTATGTGACTTAGTCCACATTCTGATTTTTCTCTATTCCTGCCTATCTTGACCTGTTTTCTCTCTTTGCCTCACCTTTTTCTTTCTGTGTTTCTCTCTCTTTGTCCGGCTGTCTCCTGTCTCTCAGACACTATCAGGGACATGTTCCTGTGTTCAGACAGGCCAGTTCTACAAGCCATCTTCCTCAACAGCAACTGTTTTGAGCATTTGACACGACTGCTGCAGAATAGCAAGGTAACAGCACAAGTACAAGCAGCATTTAATGCTCTAGATGGTGGAGATCATGTGAAAAATATATAAATCATATTTTATCTGCAAATTAGTAATTATGGATGTCAAATGTGGAGTAAAAGATGCATCATTATCCTCTGAAATGTAGTGAAGTACAAAGAAGCGTTGAATGGAAATACTCAAAGTACCACAAAATTGTACTGACATATTTAGTTTTCACCACTGAACCTCTCTAAGATCATTTTACATGTATATGTTCATAAGTTAGACTACTTAATTTAGTTAATTCTTGTATTTGTTATTGACAGCATCAGTTACAGTAGTTCAGGTACTTTACATGTGATTTGGATGCATATTTGTCCCGGTCCGGTCCAGCTTCTGTCATGTTTAGTACTTTTAAACTTTCAGTTTGAGAAAGACCTTTTTTTTTTTCTTCCTCCTTGCATGTGTTCCTCCCAAAAGCAAGGCTGGATCACTAGCACGCCTCATCACACTGTGATGCCAGCTGAGTCAAGGCTTTTAACCTTTCACCCTCTCCACCACTTAACATGTCTTTCCTCCTCTGCACCATCACCTGTCTCTCCCTTGTCTTAAATATCTCTTTCTGTCAACCTCCCCACATGCCATGTTGACATGTTGCTTGTTGTGTGTGTCAGCTGGTTAATGCTAGGTGCACGGTGGCAGACAAGGACCAGAAAGATATAACCAACAACAGGTTATTGACAGGCGAGAGGGACACTCAGGTACCGCCAAGAAAGCCCCATCTTACCTCATTATCCACTTGCTGCTACCAAGTCCCACAACCTTCACCTCAGCATGTTGCCACTCCACAGCAAGACAGTCACAGCTCACTTTGCCCCAGATAATTATTTGTAATTGGATCATGTTTTAACAGGAAAAATGATAATCCACTCACTGATTGTCAAGTGCTGGCAGACAGCACATTATTAGTCACGTGTGCATCATTTGTTTAACAGATTATTACTGTTGCGCTACCATGTTCATAGATGGTTACACTCATGGATTGAGTAGTACAGGCATTTTTTGAAGTGGCCTCTTAAAGGAATGGTTCAACATTCTTCTCATCTAACACACAAGAAAGTGATTTCCCAAACTGTCAAACTATTCCTTTATCATCATCTGAACATGATGATACTATAAACTCCACCTATCTGATCATCCAAGCAGGTTAGAACAAGTGTAACAAATCGGCTATTAGCTAGAGGTCTCTTAAGGTAAACAGCATGGTCTTTAACTTCCTCTAAGATGTGAAGCTATCACTTAAAGTGCCTGCCTGATGTTTATGAGGACTGTCTTTGAACGGTGTAGTGTCAACTATGACTCAAAGCTCTTTCATGGAATCATCTGCTGTGGGCAGAAAGGTCACATGTTCCCCTCACAGTCATGGTCTTTTCCTATTCACAGAGCCACCTTTTTAAGGTATAATCCCTCCATTGATCTGGATAATGTGAATACAAGCAGAAAAACCTGCAGGAAGACACACAAACATATCAATGTGTCTTTGTTGTACTTCATAGCAGTGTAACCTGATGCAGCAGCAGATGCTGCGGCCTGCTTGGTGAGTTGTTTAGGCATCAAGCTTTTGTTGTTTCCAAGGTCACCTGGAAACTACGAAAACTATTTTGTGAAAACACCAAAACAAAAAGTGACCCAAGGTGCTAAATGGTTTTGCTGTGGAGTGACCTCTTTCGCCTGTTTTGTAACTATATCGTGTAATTTATTTTATTACCATGTTGTGTTTCCTCACACCCCTGGGGCCTCTTCACTTATTGTATCCCCTCCACATTGTCGTAGTTTTCTGCGGTATATGGGTTTCACTGTAATGCTAACACATGGGCCTGGTGTGTGCTCTCACAGAGTTGAGTGGTTTAAGGTGATCTGGACTCAAGTGACATTGATCTAAGTGTTTGATTTTTGCCACAGTTCCTTTCCAGCTGGTCCAAGCCTCTCTGTAAGACCAACCAGTTCACAGCAGAATATTAATTAAATAACGGGTTCAGTGACCCAGAATGTGCTTGACATGAGCAGGACAGAGCTGGATGGAGATGTGTTTGTGTTTATTTTTCATGGTTTGGCTTGTGTTTTATGGGTTGCATGGTTTGTGTGTGTGTTTCTATGTGAGGTAAAAGAGAGAATTACTTCTATGTGGCTGTTTGTGTGCACAGGTGGGTGTTTTTTTGTTTTTGTTTTGTTTTTTTTGCCAAGCCACGAGTGCTTCCTGCTTCCATCACATCTTCATGCTTTTTTTTTTTTTTTTTTTTTTTTTACCTGGAGCAGAAAGACACCTATCTTATCTTTACATTGCTTGCAGTACAAGCTTTGATGCCAGCTCCTACTGCAATGACATACATGGTTCAAACTATCATCAATGGTTTTGCTTATATTTTCATGCTAATTGAAACGCACTCCAAGGCATCCAATGACGTCTCCCTGTTATTCCTTCAAGTGTATTGCATGCTGTTTTCAAAGCCTCAATTAAGTTGATCATTATCATTGAGAATTACAAACTTGTGGCTTTAAATTGTTTGCATGCTTGTTGCCCATATATGTGCATAATATTCATCTGGATTAAAAGGAGATTTGACTTGTGTCCTATCATCTGTTGCAACATTCACTGCCTGCTGAAAAATCAAGTGATTGTCTGACCTGTCTGATTGTCCTTCAGGTGTTTCAAGGGCGACTAGACTCTCTAGCTGTGGCCACCATCAAAGCCCTGACAACAGTGATGCACAAATCACCAGCTGCAAAGGTAATGGAAACATAAATACATGATTAGTCAGAGTGGTACAATTTCAACAACTCAAGGGCAAAGCCATTTATTCCTAAGTGGTGCCAGAAGTCATTTAAATTCAGTCAGTTGTTCTGAATGGTCCTTTGAGTTGTGTAATGCATCCATTATTTATTGACCTGATGGGAGTTGTCAGTACTCAGATGCCTTGATATTGTTTATTCATTAGTTTTTTTTATGCCACCCTTGTAGGAGGTTTTCAAGGAGAGAATTGGTTACAATCACTTGTACGAAGTGCTTATCTCGCTTGGCCAGCCATCTCGACACCTTCTCAAAGAGCTGATGAACATGGTGAGAGCCTGACTGACTGAATGCTGCTTTCTAATACACTTTGTTTCTGTTAGTGTGTATTCTGTACTTTATCAGTGTGTATGTTTTTGCATGTATGTGGTACCTTTTGTATTACTTGCATTATGGGGACCGAAACTTGTTAATACACTCACATTGTGGAGACTCTGCCATCCTAGTGGGGACCAGAGGCTGGTCCCCACAAGAAAATGGCTGAATTTTAGAGTGGCATCGTGGTTTAAGGTTAAGTATTAGGTGTTAGGCAAGTAGCGGTTAAGGTTAGGATTAGTCTACAGGAAATGAAAGTAAGTCACTGTAAAGTCCCCACAAGGATTGAAAACACTGTGTGTGTGTGTGTGTGTGTGTGTAGGCGGTTGAGGGTGAGCACACCTCAGTGGGGCTCCTGGGCATCAGCAACGTGGAGCCCTTGCTGCTGCTGGTTCAGTGGCTCCCCGAGCTGGACTCATCAGAGCTGCAGCTTTTTACAGCTGACTGGCTCCGGCGCCTCAGTTGCCTGAACCGCCAAACCCGTGCTACCTGTGTCAATGCTGCCATGGTCATGCGAGCACTAGCTGCCTTGGAGCAGGATCAACGGCTACACCGAGCATGTGCTGAGAGCCTACTGGGATTGGTGGGCTCACTGGGCTCTCAATCCTTGAGTGCTAGAGAACTGTTCGGGCTCTTGCGTCTCCTCAGGCCTCCAGAATCCAGCCAAGCTCACCCCTATGTGGGTCCCGCTCTGAAAGGACTCTTAGCCATGGTACGTAAGCAGGGCCTAGAAAGTGCCATGCAGTACTTTGATCTGTCACCCAGCATGGCTGGCATTGTAGTTCCAACAGTGCAGCGCTGGCCAGGGTCTGCCTTCAGTTTCTTCGCCTGGTTGTCTCTGGACCAAGACCAACTGGGCCAGCCCAGCAAGGACAAGAGGAAACAGCTCTACAGGTGAGATGAAAGACATACTCTTTCTTCTCAGTTTTGCAGAGCCAGATGTTGAAGCAGAAGTTTGTGCATATCAACTACTGCTCCAATATCTTTCTTTTTCATCTCATAAAGCTTTTTTACCCCGGGAGGGACGGGGTTTGAGGCCTTCATCAGCTCAGCGGGTGTGCTGGTGGTGGCTGTATGCACGAAGAAAGAGTATGTCACAGTCATGCTGCCTGACTACTGCTTCTGTGACTCTCTCTGGGTGAGTCAGTCTTAATGGCATCATTTTTTTAACCTTTATTTAAAGAAAGGGTAGCACCACTGAAACATGAAAATGTGGACGAGATTAAAAAGTTCCACTTTTCTAGCACTGGTTAAAAAGGACAAAATTCTGTCTGAATTTCTTTCTGCAGCACAGCATTGGAGTGGTACATGTACCAGGAAAGAGGCCATTTGGACAGAGTCTCGTCTACATTTATGTTGATGGACAGCAGAAACTGTCTGCACCTCTCAAGTATCCCAGCATGACAGAGGTGAGGCCTGCATTTGCTTCATAATTAATAATGGAATATTAGAATGTGTGTTTTCATTAAATTTATCTAGTTTTGTTCTCTAGGTTTTATAAATCTTTATTCCTATTGTATTAAAACCACAAAAACTGTTACAGTAAAACAGCAGTGAGGGGTTATGAGGCCTGGCAGTTATAAATCTTAAGTGAGACAGTCATCTGCTACCTGTGGTGTCTTTGTTAGTTCACTCCTTATCTTGTTCCATTCTCTTCCACCTGCAGCCATTCACATCCTGTTGCATTGGCTCAGCGGGCCACAGAACCACCACTCCCCCACCCTCCCAGATCCCAGACCCTCCCTTCTCCTCAGCCACCACACCCACCACGCGCTCTTCACTGGGCGGCATCCTATCGCCACAGACCTGGGGCGGATTCCTGGGGGGAAAACCCGAGTCTGTGACTAAGCTCATCTCAGCGGGGACCCAGGACAGTGAGTGGGGAAGCCCCACGTCCCTGCAGGGCCAGCTGGGAAGCGTCATGGTATTCCATGAACCCCTGCAGCCCAACCATATAAAAGCCATCTGTAGTGCTGGTAAGCAGGAGGGGAAAATGTGAAAGGAGGAAGAAATGAAAAAGAGGATGCAAGAGCTAGACGTAAAGAAAAGTATAATGTGATGAAGTATGCTTAGGCTTGAATAAATTAATAAAGATGAGTAAAGATTACAAATAGTAAATTCACATGAGGATATTGAACCAGCACACAGATCATAGTTAAAGTAAAATAAGCTTTCAAATATTTTTGTGCTCCTAAATTCTCACTCTTTTTCTCTACACAGGTCCAAACTGCATCTCTCCATTTAAAGCCCAGGAATCAGAACTTGGTGACCTTTCAGCCAAGTTACTGCTGCACTACTCACCCAAGGTGATTGCATCACTGCGGTTTCACCCATCCCTTCTTAAAGTTTTAAAATGTGCCACATAAAATTTACAGGCCAGTCCAGTAGATGTAATTCTTAGAATTATGTAGGTTATTTAAAGACAGTAATAGAAGTTTTACAGTGATTAAAATGCTCATAATAATTTGCCACAGTCTTATTTATTTGAAGGAAACGTGTTAGCTACATGTGGTCCTATTGTCAGCAGGCATGTAGGAACCCCATCTGTCTAGATCTGTCTCCAAACATGCTGCATGGACGCCTGACTGGGAACAAAGTCATCAACTGGGATATCAAGGTGGGAGGAACATCTTACTAATACTGTCACATATTTGTTTTGTGCTTGGAGGATTATTTTGATTTGTATTGCATGATGTGTATCCTATTTTATGGCAGGACATGATAAACTGTGGGGGCGGCCTGCCAGTGCTCTTTCCTATACTGGAGCAGTTGGCCCTGGTGACCCCTGATCAGCAGGCCAGTGATCCTGCTGCTGGGTCAGAGTTCATCACCCCTGATGTGACCACACCAGCCGATGGAGATTGGGTCATTCTCCCATCAAGCAGGGCTTCTGGTTTGTTCTGCCACAATCTGTAGTATAACAATTCTTTTTATACTTCTTTATTATCAGTTGTCTTATGAGGCAAGTGAACATATATTTTTATTTTCCGTTTCAGAGGCTCGCCTGGAGAAGAATCTGGTGGCCACTTTCCTGTTGGTGCTGAAGCATTTCCTGCAGAGGCACCCGATCAACCAGGAGAATCTGCTCCACTCGCACTGTGTGGCTACACTGGGAGCCCTGCTGCAGAAGGTCTCTGCTTAAAGTCTAATTTGGCACATGACTATTATTACCAAGGTGTCAGTGTGCAATTATGGTTCACAGGAGGAGACTAGGGGCTCTGTAAATTCTTTGACAACCATTAAATTATTTTTACTTCATGCAGACACAGATCAACACCTTTGCTAGAGCATGTTTTCATAATTTTGGTACACAAATAGCATGTTATTACTGTACTTCCACTACTTGCCTCTGTTAAAATAAGTCTGGAGAGTACAGATAGTTGTTAGAAATTTATATCACATCTAATAATGCTAATCCTGGGCGAGTCACACTAATTAGTTTTAATTTGACTTGGGGGAATGTTGGGGTATGTGTTCTCCTTCAAATGTGTGGTTTCCATTTTCCTGTATTTTTAAAAAAGATGGCAAGACTGATAGAGAGGAATGTTTGACGAGCATTTTCTATCTCTTTTCTAGCAATGGAATGCACTTCACAAACTGCAGTTATTATTCAACACATGATAATCGCCTGTGCAAAAAACACCCAGATAAAATGTCTTAGATGTGATCATAGTTGCTCTAGGCAAAGTCCCCACACCTTTTAAAAGGTAAATGGCCAAGTAAAGCACTAATGGGCTTTCACCATTACATCATGTTCCGTTGGGTGTCATGTTGCTTTGTACTTGCTTGTTAACAAGACACATTTCTGGTTTAAGGGACCATACATAATAATTACCTGTTTTATGTGTGTCCCTTTGTGTCTCCTCATTTTGCACGTGTGCCAGTAAATGTGTGTGTCCCTGAACTAATAGTAGTAATACAATTAGTAGTAGTAAAATACATTCTCCTTTGGTATGTGTTTAGCTGCCGGTGGGTCACGTGGATGTCAGCGTGCTGGTTGCTGTGCAGCTGCTGATAGAGCAGGTCACATATGAGAAGAACCAGGCCCTGCTGCAGCAGCTTCACACACATCTGCTGTTCAACTTCAACATCTGGAACAAAGGAGACTTCCCTCTACGCATAGGTGAGATTGACATTCCTGTGTTTCTGTTCACTAAAAGTTCTCCCCAAAAAGTGTGAAATCAGATAAAACTTAAAACTAAGAGGTTATTCTGTGAAATGTAGTAAATGTGTCCCTGAGATGACCGGCTCTGAGTTGTGCCATTTTTTTTTTAAATAAAGGTCATATCCAGTACATGTCCACTGTCATCAAAGACAATAGGAAGCAGTTCCGGAAAAAATATGGAGTTCAGTTCCTTTTGGACACTATACGCTTATACTATGGGTAAGACTCCATTTCCTAAAGTTCATAAACTTTATTTTTTAAAGTTTTTTTCACAAATGATTTGCTCTTCTGTGTAGGAAGAACAGTAATAAAGAGAGTGACCTGAGTGAAGATGACATACGTGCCATCCGGGCATCTCTCTGCGGCCTCATCAAGTACTACATCAGCAAGGGCATGTCACAGGAGGAGATGCACAGCATTCTGGGATACATTGCTGCCACTGGAGATGAGGACCAGGTGAGGGGATGGAGTTAGATGTTGTAATAAGAGGCTGTCATTGTTCTATGCATTACAATTGTACTTGTATTTGTAATTGTTTTTCTATATAGCTAGCCCTGTTATGATAACAGATTGTAGTTTAATTAGACGGAAGAAGCAGAATAACCCTAAAACCCAGTCAAAGAGGACAGCATTCACTGTGAACAGAAGGCTAATCTCATTTTCAGCCTCATGGAGCCAGTCGGTAGGTTGGTAAAAAGACTTTGAGGTGTGTTGTGCCGACATCTGAGAAATTTAGAGTAGGTCAGGTTATTATTAGTGTGTATATTTGTCACATGGCCCATTTATTGCGAAGCTGGTTAATGCCAATTACTTGTGCCATTTTAGGATTTGACAGTGACAAAACATGACCTTTGGATTCAGGATCTTCTGTTTCTGTATGTGGCAGTGATGCTGTACAGGACACTCGCAGTTAATTTCCTTCTATTTTTCTCTCTCAGCATTATTTTTAAAGATTTTCCTTACTGTAAGAAATATTCATCAGTTTATGGCTGAAACAAACCACTTCACAACAAGGCTGTTATCTCCTTTGAGTCTAAAACTCCAACAGCTTCCAGGACTTGGTATCTGTCACCTGTTTTGTGAAATCCATTCACTGCTCTCATCACACTCTCTCCCTTTTTCAATCCTGGCTTTTTTAAATTTAGTCTCTCAGCATATCCTGTTATACTGCAGTACTGTATGTGTAAGCTTACATCAACATACTGTCAACATAATTACATGTTGCTCCTCCATTATCATGCATCTGCCACCTCTGTGATACCATTTATTTATTTATCAAGCCAGACTGTTTTCAAATGCCACACTTAATAAATCAGTTTAAAACATACACAATAAAATATCTCCTTATCAAAGCATCCTGTTTCATTAAACATTATAGATGTAACTCTTGCTTAGCTCACTTCACATTTAAGTTTCCTAGCTCCCTTCTTTTTAAAATAGTTTACATTAGTCAAATTTGGTTAGAAAGCGACTTTGTCTTTGTTAATCATTATTACATGCTCGTCTTCTGACAAGTGTTAGAAAGTTTCATGGTATAACCTCGGTACTACTTTGATTTACATAATACATGACATCCATAATAAGCTGTGTTTAGTGCTATGACTTCCTTCTCAAACAGTGTACAGCTTTGACTACTCTATGTAAAAGTACCTCATTTCAGTTCTGGTTGCATTGTGTTGCAGCTGTGCAGCCTGCTGGAGATGTTAATCAGCCTTTTTCAGAGCAGTCCGGTCAGAGACCAGCTCTTCTTGCTCTTCTTTGAGCCCGGTGCGGCTGACTCCTGCTACGCTCTCCTGCTCAATAACAAACACTCAGACCGACTCAGAGAGCTTGTCTTCAAGGTGGGTTATAGCTGATGATTGTCACAGAATAAGATGTCGCTGAAAGGTTCTGATTAGTTATGAAATTTGTGGACAATCATGGAACTTTGCAGACAAATCAGAGATTTTTCAAATCAGGGAATTTAAATAAACTGTCAAGGGATGTATGACAACAGTTGTATCTGTCTGTTATGATCATTTACAGTATAAAGGGGTTTTTCAAAAGCTTCACTTTACAGTAGTAATGGTATTAGCAACTAACTCCAGTGTTTTCACACTATGCAGCTGTTTGAGCGCATGCTGCGCTGTGACCGAGTTTATGAGAAGAATAAGCAGCGTTTGCGACTGAGAGAGGCAGGTTACGCTGGACTGTCGCTGCTCTTCTCTGAACTTCACATCACTCCAACCCTGGTCCGCTGTCTCCTCAACCAGGTTCTCCACACAGGTCAGCCTTTTTTTTTTTTTTTAGCTCCTGAAGGGTGTTTATACTGTTCTGCTTTTCTGTTGAAATAGGTCACCTCTATGTGCAAATCAGTCTGGCCTTCCCACTGTTCATTCTTTTGCTACGATACTGTAAATCTCCCCCTCAGTTAAATTAATTCAGCCTAGTTGAAGATTAGCTTTTAGTCAGTTAGCAGGGGTGCTTTGATTTTTTTCTTAATCCCTACCCTGCCCTTCCTTCTCTGTTGTGTTTATGTGACCTTCTCTATGCATTAATGGAATCAGTTTGACGAGTCTTCAAGGAGTAATGAGCCAGAGAAGTAATGTGCCTTAATCTTATTTCAACTCTACTCCTCCACACAGTACAGCACAGTGATGCTGAAGGTTGAACTGTGCGTAGAGTGGTTGAAAACATGTCTGGACAGATCAGTGGTGCTAAGGCTTTATGTTGTCATTAGACCAAAACTAGACATTAGCATTAGCTCATGGAATTTCCAATCAATACCACTATATATACAGTTGCACCAAAATGAAAGTATGTGTGTCTAAAATGTACAGATCAAGTGGTGAACTACAAGGACCTGATGGCTCTGGTGCAGCTCACTCACCGAGCTGGGCCCAGCGTACGCCTCATCGTCTGCAAGAGGGTGAGGAAACACCTGCACTTAAATCTGCAGACACTCGCACTTTTAATTATTTACAGCACATCCAAACAAACTCATGTTGGTTCTTAAAGAAGTTGGTCAATAATATACCTTTTCTTGTCATATATACATTATGCAGGAGCAGTAGTAGGTAAGGTTGGGTCTGCATTAGCAGTAACTTAATACAGCTGCAGAGCTGTGATGTGGCTCTTGTGCATACAGTATGTAGGCAATCTGAATCCTGTGCTGGAATGGCAGACTTCATCACTAACAGTCAAATTCACTATATTTGAAGAAATTACACAATATAAATACAGTTCAACCCATTAAATGCATGTTGCTACAAATCTTTAGTTATATTTTGTCGTACTGTCCTAATAATCACACTGCATTTGAAGGTGGGAAACAGTAATAAGCAAAGTACTTCACTTAGACACCAAATCAACAACTGGGAAAAAAACTTAAATGTAATTATTAGCAGTTAGTAATTTTTTTTTTTTTTTACAACTGTAACCCCTCAATGATACATGGCTCAGGTCTGCTGCAGGTTTCGTTAAAAGTTTCACTCCTTCCTTCTCTGTTTTCAGGTGTACCAGCTGCTACAATCCCAACAAGATGCTGCAGTCCAGATCTCAAAGCAGCAGTGTTGGCAGGACACCCTCATGCGCCTCTACCTGCGGGGTGAAGGGTCCTTGCCACTGCGGAGTGCTGACACTGTCAGCACCTGCAGCTTGGCTTCCCCTGCCCAGGGGCAGCAGCCCTAACCGCCTAGAGCTGCCGCTGGAGAGGAGAGGACGGGCAGGCAGTGCTGGCCGGCTGGATCGGCTGGAAGATGACCGGCTCAGCATAGGTGACACGCGCTCTGTGGACAGCTTGGACAACGGTGATGTAATCTCGCTGCTGGACACGCCATCTTCCTCTGCTTCCACTGAGCCCCCGCTCCACTTCAAACCATGGGTAGTGGGAAAATCAGGGGGCTTGACGCTGGATCTGTCCCACCTGCAGGCCTACGAAGGCAGGGAGAGTGGCAGCCAGACACCAGCGAGCATGCCCAGTACACCATCACCAGTGGAGACCTCCAAGCCTTTTCCAGGGAGCTCTGGAGATCGAGATGCAACTTCCTCCCTGACTGAAGACAGCTTCCTTTTCAGTGACAACACCTCACTGGGGGAGTCCTTCAACAATGCTGAGGTGAGATGAGTCCATCAGACAACTTTAGGTTAAACTACAGTGTGTTCTCTGTAATAATTTTCTCTTGGTTAGAATAAGAATTTCCAAATATTATTTTCAGTATCATAAAGTCACTAGCATTAAGTAGGTAATAGGAAAACCTGGTGTCTGTTTCAGAGAAAGAGAGAGAACTGTTTTCTTCCACAGCAGGAAGCTGACAGTTACAGCATTAATTGAGATTGAATGCTTTATATCACTGATGTGTTAGAAGGGCGATCATAATATATTTTTCAGTAACATTCTGCTTTTACTAGCTGTATGTTATTACCCACTGCTGTTTTACAGTAGAGGGATCAGTGAAGATTCCTTTAATCTAATCTAATGATAACTCTTTTTTTCTGGCGTATTTGGTGTCATGTCGCCCCCTAGCGTGCAGAGGAGGAGCTGGGCAGGATGCTGTTGGAGATAATTCTGTGTGTGATGTGGCGAGGCCTGGAAGGCTCCGACGATTCTGCATGGTTGGAGCGAGGCCAGGTCTTCTCAGCGCTCACCAAACTGGGAACTGCCAATGAGCTGCTGCTTCCTGTTGACCAAATCAAACTCAGGTCAGCCTCTTCTTAGACACTACTGGGTGTAGTAGGGACTGAATGCTTCCTGAGACAGGAACATTATCTAACGACTTCTGTGCTCTCTCTTTGCGCTCTAGTCTAATTGAACGGATGTTGGAGTGGGCAGTGAGTGATAACCGCGACGCATCAGCTGCCACGCTGCCACAGCACACAGAGAATGCCGTGCGGTTGCTTCACATAGTACAAGACTTCTTGCAGGCAGAGGGCCTGGTTAATCCAGCACTATGGACAGAAAAGGTGCTGGAAGAAACTGTGACGCTGATGGACAGCCTCATGGTGTGGTACTCTGCTGGTACCCAGTGGTTTCAGCTCTCCCAGGTTGGACTGCGACTGCTGCTGGACTTCATGGCTCAGGAGGACCCTGTGGTGAACTTTTCTTTTCATTATCCATCCTTTCTTCCATGTTCCTACTGATATGTGTATTTCTTGTGGCATTTTGTAAAAAGCCAGGTCATACATGCACAAAAGTAAACAACCTCTGTTCCAGGTTTGTGCCATGGCTGCTGCCAAGCTCAATGGAATCCTGCAGACCAAGGAGGTGTCCAGCCAAGACGAGGCCTGCTACCTACTGGGGAAGGTTGAGGGCATCCTACGACACGCCATCCAGGAGCAAGCTGAGGACACCTACTCCTTCCTGGTTCCTCTGCTGCGAACACTTCTCTCCAAAGTCCACCGTCTCCTTTACATGGAGCTGCACCTCCCCCAACTCCCTGACACCAATGGCAGCCCGTCCTTCTTTGAGGACTTCCAGCTGTACTGCAACTCGCCTGAGTGGCGCGTCTACCTCGACAAATATGTATGAGACTGAGATTTACAGTTACTGGTGGTGTTGTTTTTGGTTGGTATTAGATGCGAATTTAATGGCAGTATTTTCATTTTTACTGTCATTTGTCTCCAGATTATTCCATACATGAAGCAGTATGAAATCGAAACATTTAGCCAGGGCCATGAGACCATGGCTTTGTACTGGAAGGAGTGCTACGAGGCCTTCATGGTTAGTCTGCATAAGAGAGAGAGGGAGAGGGGTGAGAGCAAGATTCGCTTCCAGGTTAGTTGGATCAGTATTAAGCAGATAATAATTGAAGCTCCTGTACCATTTCTGTCTTAATATGGGCTCTGTCTAATGTTGGTTTGGTCCTAAGCTTTGCTCTAATGAACTCTTCCTCTTCTCTACTTCTCCAGGAGCAATTTGTGGAGCCCTTTTCACGCCGAGGCCGTCAAGAGAACCTACGCTACAACAGCATGTTGAAGCAACAGCACAGTCAGAACACTGCCACTCTCAGGCAGTGGAAGGCTGCACGGCGGGGTCTGGTGTATGAGCGAGGACCCTGGGCCGAAGGGTGCTGATATTCTTCTCCCTTTATCTGCATTTCTTATATTTTTCCACTGTAGTAATACAAATCACAGCAACTTAAATCTCAATAGGGACCAGAACTTCATGTTGACTTTATAGATAGATTCATATAAATAATGGCTGCCTTCAGGAATATGAAAAGTGTGTTTTATTATCATTTCTAACAGGCAGCAGGATGACATCCACTGGAAGGTGTCTAGTGCCGAGAACTACTCCCGCATGAGGCTGAAGCTTGTCCGTAATTACAACTTTGACCCTCACAGAGAAGCCAGTGCTCTGAGAGACAACCTGGGTAAGACACTTTAGTTTCTGTATGGGTTTTGGTTTGGGGTTTGCCAGCCGCACTTATCCTGTTGGTCTTTTATAAGTTGTTACTTGAATATTTGGACTGAATTTAAACTAAAAAGCTGCATGTTGGTGTGTCTGCTTTATAAATTTGGACTGAATTTAAACTAAAAAGCTGTTGGTGTGTCTGCTTTATAACAATGTTCCTGTTCAAATAATTGGTACCAAAAGTTGATGAGTGGGGATAAGTGTTCGTATAGTATGTAATGGGCACACTCATCCAACCTTGATAAACTGGTAGAGTTTATTAATCAGCCTCTACACAGAAGGTTATCATTACCCCAATCTTTCCAATCTGTTCAGTCTTTGCATCAGAGAGCCATATCTTCTCGTTCTCTTATTCCTGGTTAACTCAAAAGGGTAATGTTAATTAAAAGGCAGCATGTTGTAACTACACAGTACAGTACAAATTTGATCCACATAAGTGTTGAGTGAAACACTGTTACAAGCTGTTTTGTTATTGGCAGGTAGGTTTATAGAGTTTGTCAGCCCTTGATAAGCATGCTAAGAGGCTAACTTAAAGCAATGATATTGTGATATTAACCACGGCACCATTTCTGGATGCCCCTTCTCAGTTTCTAATCCCCACTTCTCTCTTCTCCTTTGCTCAGGTGTTCATCAGCAGCATGTAAACCCAGAGTCTCTGCTGCTGGAGGCTGTGAAGCAGGTCAAAGTCAGTGACCTGGAAGATGACATCCTGGAGCTGCCTGAGGATGACCCTGCTGCTGCCAACAACCAGTCAGTCACCAAATACAAGAACCACAGATCAGCACTGTTCATATAACAGAGACCCAGTGAGGAATTATTGAGATGGTTTGCTCTTTGTGTCCTACAGGGTTGAAGTAGAGGAGGCAGGTCAGAAGGAGAAATTGGTGCTGTGGGAGGACTGTGAGCTGGTGACAGTGGTGGACATAGTGCCTGGCCGCCTGGAACTCACCACCCAACACATCTACTTCTACGACAGCAGCCAGGAGAAAGAGGAAGGTGAGGAGACAGAGAGAGAGGTGGATGAGAACATAGAGAGAACCTTTTACTGATATTAACGGTGTCTGCTTGTTTCCTGAAGGAGTAGGCCATGACTTCAAATGGCCCCTGTCTCAGATCCGAGAGGTCCACCTGCGGCGATATAACCTACGTCGTTCAGCTTTGGAGATCTTCCTCATTGACCAGACCAATTACTTCCTTAACTTCAAGAAAGAGGTGATGAGCCACAGGCAAAACTTATCCAGAAAATTGAATAATAAGACTATTCTGTGATTGGAGAAGAATATTTGATCCCTGCTTCTGAGCAGCATGAAGCTAATCTCTTCTGTTTGTAACTTTGTGTTTTCTCATTTGCAGGCGAGGAACAAGGTCTATAGTCGCATGTTGCTGCTGCGACCCCTTAGTCTTAATGGAACCCGCTCACCACAGGAGCTACTCAAAGCTTCTGGACTCACACAGGTCAGGAAACCGTGATGAACAGATATGAACAGTTATAGATATCAAACGACCTCAAACCACATACAGTACAATTCAGTGAAATATAGAGCATATTTCATTGAATGGCCTCGGTGAGTAGGAGCTCACCTAAAATGTGGTGTTGTAGTGTTGTTATTAATAATTTGTTAATAAGTTATAATAAAGAGAATTCTCTTTATTGTCATTGTAAGGCGTACAATGAAATTTTGCCCCGGGCCGCTGCTTATTTACGCGGCGCCATCACGGGCAACTTGGGGGTTCAGTGTCTTGCCCAAAAACACTTCGACATGTTGGACTGCAGGCACCGAGATTCGAACCTCTAACCTTGTGGTTGGGAGACAACTGCTCTACAAATGAAATTTAACTCTTGTTTTCTCGTTTCTTTCCTCAGCCCTCCTATTGTGTGGTGTTGTGTATGTGTTAAAACAAAATAACCATAACCTCTCTCCTTATACACAGAAATGGGTGAACCGGGAGATATCCAACTTTGACTACTTGATGCAACTCAACACGATTGCAGGCAGAACGTACAATGACTTGGCTCAGTACCCAGTGGTATGTTCACTGAATACATGACTGCACAGCCGTGGTTGTTGATTGATGATATTTGAGGTAATTTGTATGTGTGTGTGTGTGTTGCCAGTTTCCCTGGATTCTGGCTGACTACACTTCAGAAGAGCTGGACCTGTCTGATCCTCAGGTTTTCAGGGACCTGTCGAAGCCAGTGGCGGTGCTTAATGAACGCAATGCCAAGGCTGTTAGAGAGAAGTAGGTTTAATCATCCAAATGATCTATAAATAAAGTGAGAGGACGGTACATTACTCAATAAGCACAATCTCTGTGGCTGAGTTTGCACTGACTGTATCCGTTAGGTATGAAAGTTTTGAGGACCCGACAGGCACCATCGACAGGTTCCATTATGGCACCCACTACTCAAACGCTGCTGGGGTGATGCACTACCTGATCAGAGTGGAGCCCTTCACCTCCCTGCACATCCAGTTGCAGAGTGGACGGTAAGGAGGATGGGCAGCCTCTACTCTACCTCAATTTTTCTTCAATGCATCCGTTAGAGGAAGTTTGCTATGTATGTGTCTGCATATGACTGCTGCTTCTAGTGTTTACTCTAGACACTCATTCATACCATCCTGCCTTGGCTCAGGTTTGACTGTGCTGACCGCCAATTCCACTCCATCCCGGCAACCTGGCACACCCTCATGGACAATCCCAATGATGTCAAGGAGCTTATCCCAGAGTTCTTCTACTTCCCAGAATTCCTTGAGAACCAGAACGGTGAGACTGAGTATTCTAAATCATTTGAAATATTACATTGCTTTGCTAATTTTATTGTGCACCTACTGAGGAATAAGTACAGTGGTGTGAAAAAGTGTTTGCCCCCTTACTGATTTCTTATCTTTTTGCATGTTTGTCACACTGTAATGTTTCAGATCGTCAAACAAATTTATATATTAGTCAAAGATAACACAAGTAAACACATCATGCAGTTTTTAAATGAAGGTTTTTATTATTAAGGGAAAACAAAATCCAAAACTATATAGCCCTGGGTGAACAAGTGTTTGCCCCCTAAACCTAAGAACTGGTTGGGCCACCCTTAGCAGCAACAACTGCAATCAAGCGTTTTCGATAACTTGCCATGAGTCTTTTACAGCGCTGTGGAGGAATTTTGGCCCACTCATCTTGGCAGAATGGTTGTAAGTCAGCCACATTGGAGGGTTTTCGGGCATGAACCGCCTTTTTAAGGTCATGCCACAGCATCTCAATTGGATTCAGGTCAGGACTTTGACTAGGCCACTCCAAAGTCTTCATTTTGGTTTTCTTTAGCCATTCAGAAGTGGACTTGCTGGTGTGCTTTGGATCATTGTCCTGCTGCAGAACCCAAGTTCGCTTCAGCTTGAGGTCAAACGGATGGCCGGACATTCTCCTTCAGGATATTTTGGTACACAGCAGAATTCAGGGTTCCATTTATCACAGCAAGTCTTCCAGGGCCTGAAGCAGCAAAACAGCCCCAGACCATCACACTACCACCACCATATTTCACTGTTGGTATGATGTTCTTTTTCTGAAATGCGGTGTTACTTTTACACCACACATAATGGGAGCTCAGCAGTGGTTTTTGTCTTGGAACTCTGCCATGCAAACCATTTTTGCCCAGTCTCTTTCTTATGGTGGAGTCATGAACACTCACCTTAACTGAGGCAAGTGAGGCCTGCAGTTCTTTGGATGTTGTTGTGGGGTCTTTTGTGACCTCTTGGATGAGTTGTCGCTGTGCTCTTGGGGTAATTTTGGTCGGCCGGCCACTCCTGGGAAGGTTCTCCACTGTTCCATGTTTTCGCCATTTGTGGATAATGGCTCTCACTGTGGTTCGCTGCCGTCCCAAAGCTTTAGAAATGGCTTTATAACCTTTTCCGGACTGATAGAGCTCCATTATTCTCTTTCTCATTTGTTTTTGAATTTCTTTGGATCTCGGCATGATGTCTAGCTTTTGAGGATCTTTTGGTCTACTTCACTTTGTCAGGCAGGTCCTATTTAAGTGATTTCTTGATTGCGAACAGGTGTGGCAAGAGAAATTGAACTCAGGTGCGATAAACCAGTGTTTTGACAGGGGGGCAAACACTTGTTCACACAGGGATCTATAGTTTTGGATTTTGTTTTCCCTTAATAATAAAAACCTTCATTTAAAAACTGCATGATGTGTTTACTTGTGTTATCTTTGACTAATATATAAATTTGTTTGACGATCTGAAACATTACAGTGTGACAAACATGCAAAAAGATAAGAAATCAGTAAGGGGGCAAACACTTTTTCACACCACTGTATGTACTGTGGAGCTGTGATATGTAGGAAGACTAATACAAATAAATTAAAAATATTTATGCCTACATATTCATATTTAGCATATGATCATAGGACAAAATGTGATCAGAGCAGGTAATCATTAATATCTCATGAATTTATTCTCTACTCTTGCTCCCTTCACCCTGTTTCTTCTCTCTCTACCTTGGTTCTCTCATTCTGTTTTCTTGACTTTTGTTCTTACCATCACCCAGGCTTTGATCTCGGTCGCCTGCAGATCTCTAAGGAAAGGGTGAGTGACGTTGTTCTGCCCAAATGGGCCAAGTCCCCTGAGGACTTCATCTACAAGCACCGCAAAGCTCTGGTGAGATATGATATTACTTGTGCTACTCTTCACTGTTTATTCTCACATGATGCATAGTGTAAGAAACTAATCGTAGACTATTGAATTAAGTACAACCTTTAATAAAACCATCCACTAACACCTAACATCAGTGCAGAGTGTCTAGAAAGCAGAAAAGTATCTGGTCTTTGACTGAGAGGCGGACACTCATTGGGTACATGGAGACACGCCACTGTGACCTTACACAGTTTACACTTTGTTATTCTCATAACCAAGCATCAGAAAATTGCAGGAGTATATATTTAGTGGAGTATGCAGTGAAGCCCTTTGATGCAGCCTATGTGCACAGATAGGTGCACATTTGTGCTTGTAGTAGCTACATGTCTGTGTATATTTGAACCGACTGGTTTATGACCACATTGTGTGTGTGTTTGTGTAACAGGAGTCAGAGTATGTATCAGCCCACCTTCATGAGTGGATCGATCTGATATTTGGTTACAAGCAGAGAGGCCCTGCAGCAGTGGAGGCCCTCAATGTCTTCTATTACTGCACTTATGAGGGTAAAGCGTCCACAACTATCATGCTGCCATTGCACATCATGGTTTTATTCCTTACTCAGTCTTCCACAATAATTACATCATACGCAAACATATAAGTGCCAACATTTTGCAGCAATCTAGGTCAAACCACTTCCACGCTAAGTGAATTGTAAATGTAGTTCTTTGAAGGCTGGGTCTGGTCTTGCAGGGGCAGTGGACCTGGATGCCATCACTGATGAAAAGGAACGGAAGGCCCTTGAAGGCATGATCAGCAACTTTGGACAGACGCCCTGCCAGTTACTCAAGGTACAGACATGCACCAGATACATGATACTGCTTGACTCCAAAACATCTAAACAAAAGACTGGAATCTGTTATTACTTGAGGCAGTTAGGTTTTGCTGCTGTATTTGTATTTCTGGTTTAGACTGTTATATGTATGTGTATCTAGGAGCCCCATCCAGTGCGTCTGCCTCAGGAGGAAGTGGAGAAGAGAAAGACTCAGTTGGACTCATGCCCTCTCAACATGTTCGAACACCTCAGTGACCTCAAGTCCTTCTTTGTGGAGGTTTAATCTCTACTTCTGATTTACTTTATTAATGAAAAATCTGAGTTTTTTTTCTTTTGTCAACTAAAACAAAACAATTGCTGTTCCTTTTCATTAACATATTGTGATGATTCTGGTTTTTAATTCTCTCCCTCGTCATACTGCAGGGTATCAGTGACAATGTGCCACTGGTTAAGGCCGTGGTGCCAAAGAATCAGTCTCATTCGTTCATCACCCAGGGGAGCCCTGACACCATGGTGAGTTTGGTGCTAATAGGAATGATTGTAGGGTTGTTTTATGTTTTTTCTACTAGACTAGATGCTCACGATGTTTACACTGTCTCCAGGTAATGGTGAGTCAGAACTGCCTAGTTGGGACCCATGGGTGGCTTCCTTACAACAAGAACATCTCTAACTACTTCACCTTCATTAAGGACCCCACAGTGTCCAACACCAAGTGAGAACATGCACAACACATTACAATACATAGCTGTGTGGTGGCACTGGCAAAACAGTGCAATGCTGCCTTTACCACCATTGTGTGGCTCTCATGCTCTCTGTTCTTACTATGTTCACCTAGGACCCAGCGATTTCTGTCAGGACCCTTCGCCCCTGGTGTGGAGGTTACAGCAAGGCTGTTTGTGGTCTCCCACGATGGCAAGTTGCTCTTCAGTGGTGGCCACTGGGACAACAGCATCCGGGTCACCTCCCTGGTCAAGGGCAAGACTGTGGGGCAGCATATCCGACACCTGGGTAAAGAAAAGTCTTGACTTGTGTCTCTTCCAAAACAAATTGGCTGTTCATAATATGTAAATTCTTGCCTTCTGTAAGCACCATCAGGAGATACTGCACTGGTCTTCATATACATTCATTTCATTCAAAATAATAAGCTAGTGTTGGCCTAAAAAAAATAACAAAGCAGGCATATGTCCACCAGATGACTGAAGCCAAAGCACAAGGCCTACAATACAGAGTTGTGGTTGTACTGGCAACAGCCTGGTGTGTATTTGTGCAAACCTAGACATAGGCTGAAAATGTTTGACTTAACTTTGTGAGTGTTGTGTTCCCTGTAAATGTGTATTATAATAACTGATCCATGGGTGTATTCATGTGTCCTCCAGACATTGTGACCTGCTTGTCAACAGACCATTGTGGCATCCACCTGATCTCTGGCTCCAGAGACACAACCTGCATGGTGTGGCAGGTTCTACAGCAGGTCAGGACAGTGTCTTATAACCCATAAAGCACATTTAAGTTTTTATTTTTATTTTTTACACTTAATGCAAAGGTCCCACCAGTGTAATGGCTCTGAATTTCTCAGCAGTCACTTGGCATTCTGAGCTTAATTTGTTTTCTCTGCTTGCAGGGCGGAGCTCCTGTGGGTCTTTGTCCCAAACCAGTTCAGGTGTTGTATGGGCACACAGATGAGGTGGTCAGTGTCAGTATCAGCACAGAGCTGGACATGGCTGTGTCTGGGTCACGGGTAAGAGCACATCTCATGTCGTCCACTGATGTAAAATATATAAAGTAGAGAACCCAGGTGGAGATGAATGAAGCTGTGTGTGTGTGTGTGTGTTAATTAATGTATGTTTCCACTCTATGTGCCCCAGGACGGGACAGTGATCATCCACACGGTGCGTCGGGGGCAGTACATGCGTTGCTTGCGACCGCCCTGCGACAGCTCCCTGCCACTGTCTATCCTCCACCTGGCTGTGTCCTGGGAGGGTCACCTGCTGGTCCACACCTGCCTTGAGGGCAAAGCAACACTCAAGGTGCATGCACTATTTTCTCACACACATAGACCTTGCATGAACATATGGGAAGATGGGTAATGGTAGGTGAAGATTAAGTTGATACAAAACATGTTATTGACAGTTCTCTTTCCATTGCCAGGATAAAAACGCTCTGCACCTTTACTCTGTAAATGGAAAGTACCTCTGCAGTGAGTCTCTGATGGAGCAGGTGACTGACATGTGTGTTTCAGGGGAGTATGTAGTCACTGGCAGCGAACAGGGATACCTGTCTATCCGTGACCTGTACAGGTAAACATCTGTGTGTGCTAGAGCAAAGTCTAAATTTGTCATCAGACCAATTTTCACATTGGCCATTTTTTTAAATGTTATTAAGGATTTGAATGGATTTAGGATTGTTTTCAGCTCCTGTCTACCTGCATGTAGACATTGTGGATGTTAACCTTTACTTTTCCCCTCTTGTGCAGCCTGTCTCTGTGTACAGGGTCCATGGCAATGCGAGTGCCAGTGTGTTGTGTCTCAGTCACCAAGGAGCAGAGCCATGTCCTGGTCGGTCTGGAGGACGGCAAGCTGATCATCGTGGGTGTGGGCAAGCCAGCGGAGGTAAAGAACTCACTGAGGAACTACATCGCTCAGAGCCTGGAGGGATCGCCACTCATGGCCTCCCCCTTGCTGGCCCCACTTCGAGCTCACTCGCCAACCCGCCTGTTGCACCAGCGTGACCAGCTGGTTTTCAGCCCGTCTTCAAGCTCCCAAAAACCCTAACAGCTCCAGTCCCTTCCTCCACTTTGATTGCTGTAGATCTGACGCACACAGATAAAACAGCTACGCATATCACCTATGTTTCAAGGTTTGACCTCACTGTCCTCAAAGACCTTTTGCCCAGTCACCTCTCCTGCTCAGGGACAGTTGTTGCCCACAGTCTGTCATTTGCCTTCATTCCTCCCTTACCAAACCAACACAGACACACACACACACACACACACATTTTCTTCAGAACCTCACATTCTTTAAAAACACCACTGAGCAGATAGGCTGGAGCCACAACTGCGATATGAAAGCAGCTTGTAGTATTTAACTCATTTTTTTAACTGTTTGGCATCTGTGCGGTATTTGATTGCTTTGGCCATTGGCCCGGGATAGACTCCATCACATGCTGTTTACCTGAAGTGTCATTAGGTCACATATTTGAGTGTGCTCTATGACTATAACAGTATGCTGTGAAACAAAATAATCATTAATTACTGCTTCTCCAAACTCAAGCCATATTAATTGTGTAGCTACAATCTAATAATGCAAACTAAAAATCTTGCACCATGATAGACTTTGATCATGTAAATAGTTTGATAGTGAGGTGGATACTGGCAGTTTGACCTGAATCCTCACACCTTTTCATCTTTTCTGTTCAAATTGACACACCAAAGTGAATCAAGCTTTGATTTTTTTTCTTTATTGCCTCACAAGTCAATCAAGCTTCAATGAACTAATCAGTCACTCATGAATCATATCCTTCCTCCTTCTTTACCCCTCCTTTCCTTTGACTTCACACTTTTCTCTCACCTGTCCCCCATTCTGCGTCCCACTTCCTACTCTTCTGCCTCCCCTCTTCTCAGATGCGTTCGGGCCAGATAACGCGGAAGCTGTGGGGCTCCAGCAAGAGACTGACTCAGATCTCCTCAGGAGAGATGTTGTACAACACCCAGCACGACACCTGACCCATCCCAGTCCCCGAGCCCTAAATCCTCCCTCTCCATGCACATCCTGCATTCCTGTCACCCAATTCTCTGCCACAACTGTCAATGACCAAGCAGCACCTTTCCACAGTTTAACAGGCGGTAGTCAGTGATTTTGTGGTGCTACAGTACAGCATCAGATATCATAATGTTTTCTCTGTGTGTCCATGCTTTGGATTGACCATATGGCGCTGGCGCTGTGGTTCAAATTCACCACACTACTACCCACCGCTCCCACACATCACAGCTTCTCTCTTCATCCCTCAGCCAGTCATCATTTTTTCATCATATATATGTATGATGCGGTTTCTCCAGCAGGAGCCTGTTCACCCCCGCACTGTGTATTCCCCGACCTGCTCAGCTTAAGTTTGACAGGATCGGTCAGCTAACTACTCTCCTCTATGTACGAACGATTATGGTTATGTGTGTGTGTGTGTGTGTGTGTGTACGCACATGTGCAGTGTATTGCCATACTGTATCTCTAAATGTAGTTTAAGAGGCCTTTTCGTTCCCCCCTTAGTTTGCTTTCGATGCAGACAGGTGGGCCTGTGATCTGTAGGCTGAGACTTCTCATGTTTGCCTCAAAGCTGCCACACAGCAGCCTTATGCAGTAAGATGGCTCATCACTCACAAGACCAAACTCTCTGCCTTTCCTGTGTGTTTTAATATATGTACATGTGTGTAATTTGTTGTTTTGTCTTGTTTACCTTTGACAGGTTTATGCATGTACAAAGCAACATGGCATCTCTTCATATGCATGGAATTTTTGGTTCATTTTGAGATTAGGTAGCAGATACAGTGATGGAGAAGGTTGTTTTTTTTAACTGACTTTTTTTGTTTGAGAAACATCATCAGGATGGCATCTGTTTTTAATGTTAGCATGTCATTTCAGATATAGTTTTGTAAAAAAAAAAAGAAAAATCACTACATTATAGAAAAACACTACATTCTCAAACACCGACAAAACAGTTATCTCGTGCTTTATCAAGTGTTTTTAATTTACTTGAATCCATGTTTATTTATGTGTAAAAGTAGTTTTTTAAATCACTTTTCTCTTGAATACAGTCATTCGCATATTTTAAACTCTTCTGACATGTAGAAGACGGAGAAAGAAGAAATCCTCAAGGGCTTTATGAGATGTCAGTGTTAACAGCAATACAGCTACTTTGTCAGATCCCTGTCGATGCTTTCTTCCTGCTTTGTCTCAGCCCTACAGTATCTCCAGTCTTCCTTGGGTAATGTACCCACACTTCCTCCACTTCCCCTAACTGCCTTTATCTCTCCTCATTCTTTATTTTTACATCTCATCCTCCTTTGTGTTCTTTGTGAAGTGACTGATTTCAGAGAACTTTTTCTTATCAGGCATCTAGAAGATTTGCTTGCCTTGTTTAGGTTGCTTGGGAGGCACGTTGTTCGTGTGTGTGTGAGAATGCAATTTCTTTACTTTGTCATATCAGAATCACAAAAAAGCCACAGTATGAAGCTCCTGTGGGTGAGGCTGTGATTCATATTTTTGCACCATACATGTGTATGCATGTAGTGTGTATGTGTGTCTGTGAGAGACGACATGCCAGAAATGCATGTGTTTATTTTATATAGCCAAATTCTTGATTTCATCATACATGTTGATATGGTGTTGCTGTTTCCATGGCAGCGCCTGATTGTTTTGGCTCAGTCATGGGTTCAGCATTGGCTTTAATGGTTCTGTCTCTTTAATTTTTCAGTGTGATTTTGTATTTAGTTTGTATTTAAATGTCACAGCCATGTGGAGTGTAAGACCAATCTGTGATTTCTGTGAAAGGTGCATAAAATGTTTGTTTTTTATTTTTCCTTTTATCCACATTTGTCATTCAGACAAGACCACTGTTTGAGTTGTATCGCCACTGCAACCGACGGAGTGCCTTTATCTCAGTGTGGTGTTAACTTAGAGCTAGGTTTTTTGTCATTACTGAAGCTGGTCATCCCTGTAAATCAAATGAAAGCAGCATTCCAGATGTTAAGCCTTCACAGTTTCAACAGGAACTAAGAATAGCAAAATCAAAATGTACTAGTTTGTGTCTTAGCAACATTCTGTGACTGTCACCAAATGGATGTCTGTATATCTGTGATTATTTATGAATACAGTATATAATGTACAGCATGATTTTTTTCTGCGTATTTGAAATGTACTTTTGCACTTTCCAGGTACTAAATTGTAACAATGTTTTAACTTGGCTCCCTAATCTGTACAAAGTGCTTTGTATACACAAGTGAAAAATGATCATTAAAGTCTTGTCAAGTATAAATATAAATTTGTGGTTTGTCTTTCTGATGCCTTTACCACAAAAAGAAGAATGAGGAGTGGTGCAGGTATAATATGCCAAGTTTTATTCAAGCAGACAAAGTGGTAGGTACACCAGACTAATGGAAACAATATTGTCAGCAAAATCAAGGGCCTGCTTTCTGATGCTGTGTTGCTTTGTGATCTTATGCAGTGATGGGGTAGGAGCAGATGGACGCTCTCTTCAGGTCACAATCAGCGGCCGTCCAGCTCTCATCTGCAGAAGAGGGTAGGGACCGAGTTGAAAAGACATGCTGATCACACATTCCTAAGACATTTCTGTTTAGAAACTTTAACAGAGCATAAAATGCCTAGTTATCATTTACAGCATTTCTGCTGTTTTACAGATGTAATTTAGGCTATTTGAAGTTTGGTAATATTATTTGACGTTAGCCATAAGCTAGTAGTTATACCAGACCTAATAGACTATAACTGAAACACATGTAAGTGTCTTGCACAGAGTAAGGGGTTGTTTTACTGCTTAAGAGCTCAACTTGTTAGGAGAATGAATGTATTATTTCTTTCAAGTGTTACATAGTCACGCTTCAGTAATGGTTTGCTTGCCTCATACAGAAGTCTCAGGAAATTATTTATTGGTGTGTGTGTTTAGTGTGAAGGTTCGGTTCTTACCCATCTTGAACATTTCCACACAGACGAGTTTGTTTGTGTGTTTGTTGGGGTGGCCTGGCATCCAGTCACTGTAACTCCACTCTGACCCATCTACCCATGATGTCTGCTGGTTCTGAGGTGAGAACATGAACACACATACAGTACAGCATGTCAGAAATATGCACTGTACAGTATAAACTTGACTGACCCATTCTTATTAAAACTGACAGCATAGAAAGTGAAGCATTCATATCTTTATGTAAAATAATTATTACAGTGTAGTATTGCTACTACTGCAGGTTCTGCATTCAAAATTTTACGCATAAAAAAAAGTCAAATCCAACTGAAAGTCTGAGTATTTTTCCACTTCTAGTTTTTTTCCTCTCTGGCCTCACTTTGTGACGCTGCAGAAACAGATGGAACATTTTAAAATAAAAGCTCAGAGGTCAATGCTTTACCAAGGTAAGATTAAAACCATCTGTTCTGTTGATAGTGTATCTGATGGCACTCTCCTTGGCCTCCTTGTACAGTACAGGACCAGACTGCTGGCATCATGATTGTTAAGCACTTGAGTTAAAATGGTCATATGAGATTTTACTCTTTTCTCTTAAAAGATAAAATAGTGTAGATTAACTTTATTGGGGTGGTGCCAGCCCATATACTGATATATAGCTGAAGGCCATGTACCTGATATTATTTTACTTCATTTTTCACCCTGTTCTAATAGCTGCTTTATCACTGAAGAAGTGCATATTTCCAGAAAAACCTCTGGTCTCCTTAATTGGCTGTTGACTAGAGGAACTTGCCTTGACCATTCCTCCCAGCCAGGTCAGCACAGGGCTGCTCTCACCACCCTTGGTCACCAGTGAAACCAGGTGGTAATGGAGATCACCACTGGTTACTGATGCAAGCTCAGCATTTGGAGCAAGAGCTCTGCATAAGACCTGGAAGCAAAAACAGAGGACACAGAAAAAAAAGATTTAATTTGTACAAACACAAACTCAAAGATTCAGTCACAGTGGGGCCTTGGAACAAAGCCTTGTTGATGCTGTGTACACTATGCACCGAAGGTTTAGGGCAGAATTGCTCCTTGCTGCTTATGTATTGCTGAAATGCTAAAATGTCTAACCTGTGCATCTTGGAAGGTCAGTGGTGTAGGGTTGAACTCGTAGCAGTTTCCACTGATGTCCTCCCCCTTACACGCTACTGTTTGAATCCAAGAGGTGGAAGTTCCGGTTCCCTGCCTGAAGCCGTCCCGGATGGGCATGAAGGGCTCGGTTCCCTGCGTGAAGCCGTCCCGGATGGGCATGAAGGGCTCGGGTCCCTGCCTGAAGCCGTCCCGGATGGGCATGAAGGGCGCGGTTCCCTGCCTGAAGCCGTCCCGGATGGGCATGAAGGGCTCTGTTCCCTGTCTGAAGCCATCCGGGAGATGTGGAGCAGAGGCCTCCTCCACCCGCACCCAACCCCCACCACTCTTTTGGGCTGGAACATCAACATGGCCTGGAAGACAGAAGGCCTTTGGATTAGATAGGCTTCTTTAAGTATAGTGATAATTTAGTGAGCAGTGGTTTTTCTGACATTTCCCTTATAAATTTGTTTCCTCCTGCACTTGTTGATTCTATGGTGGGAGCTGGCGGCTGTGGACAAAACAATTGTGCCTGTCTTTCTACATATTGTGACAGTTTTACTTTATAGGTTCCTCACCCTCATCTGTGAGCCATTGTCTTCTCTCCATCTCTCCAGTGACAGTGCCTTGTCTGAAGCCATCAAGAATGGGTTCATTTCCCTGTTGAAAGCCATCAGGCAGCTGGTAGGTCGAGGATGTCTCGGGCAAACCTCTAGGAGCTGCGACTGGGACAGCCTGGAGGCCTGTGAGAGTTATTGTTTATATTCCAGTTAGCTGTTGGCTTTTAGGCTGTCAAGGTCTAAAAACTGAGCATCTACATTCATGCAGAGCTGAATGAATGCAGCACTTACAGCTTCTCATATATAGGCAGAAGGTAAATCTGGTGATTGTGGTTGAATACACAGCCTTGCAAATTTAACAAATCCCCTTGTCAGCTGACAGATAACTGTTCGGCCTTTATATCAATTATTAACTACGGTGTCATAAAAAAATATATAGACCACAGGTTTTCTTAAACAGTGTTATATGTCATGGATGGTCAAAGTCTAATTTTTGTGCAGCCATTAGGGAGGTCAACTGATGTAATTACATGATCATTTGCTTCTTTCCATGGAGCAGCACTATGCTTCTGCACAGTAATTAGCATTCTCTCAAAAGCCTCCAATTAGCATGGAGATTTCTATATTCTCCAAAAAGTTCAAAATTAACAGGATATATTAGACATCAGTTTATAGTAGCCTCTATTGTGACAGCTGTATTTATTTGGCCTTCTTGTGATCACACAAATGATATTTTAGAAGGTAAGATATTATCTCAACTTAGTCATTTTCTGGAGGTTACAAGCTTTTTTATGATAAGAAAAGCATTTTCTTGATATTATTTCAGAATCTACATGAGTCAAACCCATTATGTCATTAATTCAGAATACTTTTTGAGAACAATACACTTCAACAATAATACACTTTAATGGCTGTTTGTAGTAAACCAACCATTTACTTAAGGGGAAAAAAATCTAATTATGTCACTACTAAGGCAATTTGATTAGCCTACATGAAAATCCTGTCACCTGCAAATTAAAGTTTTCACTAAACTACATAAAATAAATAACTGCATAGAAAATGTTTATCAAGAATTACTGTGGTTACATTACTAGAATGAAAGATTAAGTGATTCAGATCTTACCAGGCAGGGTCATTAAGAGTAGCACTATCTTTAACATCCTGTAAACATAAAAAAGAGTGACTTTTGTTATTTACCATCTGTTATTCAACATATTTAGCTGTAGATTTCTCTCCAGTGTTTTATAAGCTATGAGTGTTTGTGTGTTACTCACCTGAGACTGCAGCGATGAACACTAAGCAACTCAGAAAGAAGGTTACTTTTTAATATGTTGCTATCTTGAGTCATAAATCCTACTAATAACACTGTGAATGAGATTACAAATTAATCTGCATCTCCCAAACTTTGATCATTATTGATATTTGATGAGCCCTGTCCAGGGTTTACCCGGCCTCTTGTCCAAAGTCAGCTAGGATTGGCTCCAAACCCCCTCCCATGACTCTCTTCAGATTAAGAGGATTAGATAATGGGTGATATTTGATGCACTTTGCCCACAGGTCTTGCCTGATAATGGTGCCGATATAACAGCTAATAAACCAACAGTCGCTGTCTTTAATAAAGCCATTAGAAAAAATGGCCACTTGTTTGTTTACATCCTATTATACTGTACACATCCTGGTCTTGTAAACATGTTGAAGGTGAATGGCACAAAAATGTATTTTCTATCAAGTCCTGGCCCTATTCATTGTTCATGTTGTTCTTTCCAATAAAACAAACAAAAAAAATCTGATAACCGACATGCATTGCGCGGAGGGTGCCGGTCGAGTCTGCGCAGACTCGGCTGATTTCAAATGAACCTGGTGGCCTTTACGGCTGACGCTAATACGACTTAGCTAGCTATCGGTGTGGGCAGTCTCAAACAACAGTCTTCCTCGGTTGAGAAGCAGAAAACCTGACAGAACTTGTCATCGCAGCTCTAAACTGCGTGTGCAACACGTCTTGTACTTCCAATGGCTTTGGTAACAGCGTTACGTAGACTGGCTCACATAAGTTTACGAGAATATTCGTGGAGGAGGACGGCAGTAACTTCGGGTGCGTGGCTGACGGGCTGGAGAAGTTTTACCACAGGCACACAACCTCTGAGGTTGGTAACAAGCAAGAATTCTCAGATACAGGCTTAGGTTTGCATCCAGCCTGGCTTGATAACGCTCTTTAGTTGCAAGCCAAACTGCACTTTAAAAAAAAACAGGAGTGACCTTACTAATCAGTGCACACCTGGCAGACTATTGTGTAACGTTAGAACACGAGTGAAGACTACTAATATTTGGTATCCCTTCTGTGGTGACTATAAATTAACTTATTTACGTTTTCACGTATAAGACACGCACAGGGAACGCCTGTCAGACTGTATTTGATTTAAGTGTCAGCTCTTACACATGTGTTGTTAGCTCCCACAGCTAGGCCGGTGGCGTTATTTAGCTTTGTACCATTATATCTAAGTGGGTAGTAGTGGTTGCTTGAAAGCTATGTGTTGTCACTTTTCTGAATGCATTTAGTGTGAAAAGTTTACCCGATACAAGTTGCTTGTTGAAAGTGAAACAACCATGCCGGTAATGTTGACAGTTAGTGACTGTTTTGGGCACTAAACTCCCAGACTTAGAGGAATAATGGTGCACTCAGACAAAAGCCTGATTGTATAGCTTAAAAACTAGTGTATGTATGCCATATATGGCACCAGTGTTGTTTTAGTCGTAGAATAAGCGGACTGAATGTTTGGATGGGGCTCAGACTTCTCTCTACACAGCTAAAGTAATCCACTGTTCTGCTCAGGTTGAAGGCTCTGACCAAGGCTGGGCTTCCCAGGGCCACACAGTTTGTTGAATTATATAATAATGATGACTGGCTGCTCTGGTTCGATCTTTATTTTGCTAGAGTGTCCTTGAGATGGCTGACACTGTCCCTGCCTGCTCACGTCAGTCAGCTTGGCTGTCCCTGACCCTAAATTGATGTTGGATATTCACACATTCAGCGAGGTTGATCCACATGCATGTTCCCCATGTTAGGGAGTATAGCTTCATCATATTTTGTCTGAGACTCTTGAACATTTTCGTTTTAATCTGAGCCTCCTCCCACTACACAGCCTCCAGTTTTCCAATTATTATCATGCAGTATTGTTTGTTATCGAGACTCTTCTATAACTATCATGTTCAGAAATACTTATGGGTGCTCAAAATTTTATGCAGTAGGTTACTGAGTGTAATGTTTAGGGCCTGGATTGTGGGGTCACCTAACAGGATTATCTTTGGAGTTTGGTTGCAGTTGCTGCAGCCTGTCTTCCATGTGAAGCAGATAAATACCTGGTTGCTTCAGTTTTCCCACACAAACCCTCTTCACTCTTTCTGAAGCACTGGCGTTACGTAGTCAAGTCCACACAAGACAAACTGGTGAATTGTATGTTTTCATTGTGAGCAGAAAGGCTCACCGTTTCTTTGTGGCCACAGTTCATAGTTGACTCTGATTACATGTCTGTAGTGCATAGCTCCATCAAAGTGTGTAAAATGTTCTGTTCAGAGCATTCACAGTCCTTGTTAAATCCAAACTTGTACAGCCTCTGGTTGTGGCATGAAGCTGGGAAAGCTGGCATCGTAATTTGATTCCCGCTGCAGTACTAGGCAGGTGGAGAATGTAATCAGACAGGAATGGTTAGTTCCTGAGTTCTGTACAATTGTAGTTAAATTATATTAATGAAATTTTAAAATAATTGCCTAAACAATTAAAATAGTGACAGCTAAGGGGCTGAGGTTGTGTGGTTGTAATAGTATTGATGGTAATGATATTTTTATTTTTACCATGGACATTAAAATCCTTGGTCAAGTGAGTGAATCATCAGTGTGAATTCAATACCAGATCAGTTGAGGCCTGGGTTAACGACTGCCACAGTGCTGTTGGCCTACAGGGTGCTGGTGGAAATTGGACTACTGCTGGTCGAAGAAGGAGAGGAGGCAGAAGGATTCGTAGACAGAGAGAGAAGAGGAAAGGCAGGAGTATAGGTCTGAGAATAGGGACTCTTAACACTGGCACAGTGACAGGGAAAGGTAGAGAGCTGGCGGACATGATGGAGAGAAGGAAGGTAGATATACTATGTGTGCAGGAGACCAGGTGGAAGGGTAGCAAAGCGTGTAGCATTGGAGGGGGATACAAACTGTTTTATTATGATGTGGACGGGAAGAGAAATGGGGTAGGAGTGATCCTGAAGGAGGAGCTAGTGAGGAATGTTTTGTTGTGGCAAGAGTGAGATACCGACTAAATTAATTCAGACAAACCATTACAATTTAAAGGATCATTTAATATTACAATTATTCTGAATAGAGTAGTATTTAAACACAATCTTGTAGTTAGGGAACAGAGATCAGAGAACAGAGACTCTCCTCCTGCACTGTGATAGATAAAACCTAAAGATTGTCAGAGCACCAGTCAGTCAAATCAGTTGTTGTCTGTCCCGAGTCAGTCAGCGTTTTTCCCAGCCGGCTGGGTCCCCCAAAAGGTACCTCGTCTGCTGTTTACTGCAGCATGGTCATTCCCTGGTGATAAATCGTAGAACAGACAAGAGGAGCAGTAAAAACGACGTCTGCTCTCCCTTGCAACCCGGAACTCCATGCACACTGTGTGTGCAGGAGACCAGGTGGAAGGGTAGCAAAGCGCGTAGCATTGGAGGGGGATACAAACTGTTTTATTATGGTGTGGACAGGAAGAGAAATGGGGTAGGAGAGATCCTAAAGGAGGAGCTCGTGAGGAATGTTTTAGAGGTGAAAAGAGTGTCAGACAGGGTGATCAGTCTGAAGTTGGAAATTGAAGGGGTAATGTTGAATGTAGTCAGTGGTTATGCTCCACAAATAGGGTGTGAGTTAGAAGAGAAGGAGAGATTCTGGAGTGAGTTAGACGAGGTGATGGAGAGTATTCCCAGAGGGGAGAGAGTGGTGATTGGAGCAGACTTCAATGGGCACATTGGTGAGGGGAACAAAGGTGATGAGGAGGTGATGGGCACGTTTGGTGTCAAGGAAAGGAACCTAGAAGGACAGATGGTGGTGGACTTTGCTAAGAGGATGGAAATGGGTGTAGTTAACACCTACAGTATTTAACAGGAGAGGGAGGAATATAGAGTTACATATAAGAGTGGAGGTAGGAGTACACAGGTAGACTACATTTTATGTAGACGAGGCAATCTGAGAGAGATTAGTGACTGCAAAGTGGTGGTAGGAGAAAGTGTAGCCAGACAGCATCGGATGGTGGTGTATAGGAAGAACTTCCAGATGACTGGGAAACTACAGCAGAAGTGATCAGGGAGACAGGTAGGAACATGCTAGGTGTGTCATCTGGAAGGAGGAAAGAAGATGAGGAAACATGGTGGTGGAACGAGGAAGTACAGGACAGCATTCAGAGGAAGAGGCTAGCTAAAAAGAAGTGGGACGTAGAAAGGACTGAAGACAGTAGACGGGATTACAAGAAATTGCAGCGTAGAGTGAAGAGGAAGGTGGCAATGGCCAAACAGAAAGCATATGATGAATTGTATGCCAGGTTAGACATGAGGGAAGGCGAGTAGGACTTGTACAGATTAGCGAGACAGAGAAATAGAGATGGGAAGGATGTGCAACAGATAAGGTAATTAAAGACAGAGATGGAAAGGTGCTAA